AGGGATTGTAGGTGGGGGGAGTGAATGTACAGCGCTCTCTCCCACCTTCAATACCACGACTGAGGTGCCCTTGAGCAAGGCACCGAACCCCCAACTGCTCCCCGGGCGCCGCAGCATAAATGGCTGCCCACTGCTCCGGGTGTGTGTTCACGGTTTGTGTGTGTTCACTGCTGTGTGTGTGCGCACTTTGGATGGGTAAATGCAGAGCACTAATTCTGAGTATGGGTCACCATACTTGGCCACATGTCACTTCACTTCGCTCACTTTTTTAAACGATCAGTAAAGTGGATAAACACTCACCACACAACACTCTCAAACTGTTTATTATTAAACTTGCGATTAATCGCATGATTGTCATGAGTTAACTTGTAATTAATCGCAACTTAATCGCACATTTTTAGCTGTTCTAAATGTACCTTAAATTAATACATTTGTTTGCCTCTCTGTTCCCACATACTGTAATTTGATGCAGCCAAATTCTCAATAAAACCGTTTTCATTGTTATATTTTACTGTTTCTGTTGTCAGACAACCAAATTAATATGAAATAGTGACTGAAACGCGACCCATTAAGACTACATAACGAGCTTTCCCTTCCAATCTGCACAAAAATCCTGATTTATAATCAAGCCGTTGTCTGATGAAATCAAATACACGTAAGATAAAGATAATAGCTGTGCTGTGAATTTGGCTATACTTGCATGTAAAATTAGAGAAGCAACGATCTGGGCTGCGTTTCCCAAAAGCATCGTAAGCTTAAGTACATCATACATCCATTGAAACCAATGGAGCTACGATCAACTTAAGCTTACGATGCTTTTGGGAAACGCATCCCTGGTTTAACTAAAAGCGCTGCTCCTCTCAGCCACTCGCTGAACAGAGCAGACGCAAAACATCGCGCTTGCAGTACCAGCGAGTCTCAGAAACTAAATAAGGTTTGTCCAATGTGTTATGTATTGTTGCTAGGCGCTATTTTGAAGGAAAAAAAAAAGTCTCTGAATCTAGCGACAAAGTCGCTAAATTGGCTGTCAGCATCTTTATTTCTCCAACTACGGGCTGGGCAACGGGTCAAACTGGAAATATGTGCTGCATTAATCGTGCGTTAATAAAATTTGTGCTGTTATGAGTTTGCGTTAACACGTTAATTTTGACATCTCTAATATATATATATATATATATATATATATCTATATATATATATATATATATGTATATAAATAATTGGGGGATAAATCAGTGAATTTAATCATTTAAAAATTAAACATCAAATCAATTAAAATTATATTTAATAAAAAAAAAAAAGATGAGAAGCCACAGCCTGAAGATAACCGAGAGACGTTTTGCTGTGTGGGAAAAAATTTTGGGTGTGTTGTTAAAATGATGTTAAAAACGCTACAATACAACATACTGTCCTTATACTGTACAACAGCATATGTGTTTGTGTGTGTGCGTGCGTTTCTGCAGGTGCACTGCTCTTCCTGTTAATGTCATGCCTATTATCAATTATTCATCGTTTTATAAACCTGGAAGTATCTAATAGTTCTACAGGGTCACGTTGCACTATAAGTTCTACATACATTCTATAAGGTACAGGACAGAAAAAGTGCAATGCATAAACCTTATCTTTTTGCTATCATATTATTTCCAGATATATTACGTGCGTTGTAATTTCTTTGTTTAGGACATGATAGGTGTTTTCTCTTTTAGAAAGAGTAGCATAGGCGAACTTAGGTTTTACAAGCAAATTTATTGTTTGTTTGTTTGTTTGTTTATTTATATATTATTAAATTATTTATATATTATTATAGTTTTTATCAATATTTTTAATTAGCTTTTAGTTATATATTTTTAGTTTTCAATTTAATTACATTTTAAGTAATATTGTTATGTGCTTTTGTCATTTTTTTTATATGTATATATATTTTTGTTTTTGTCATTTTTTTAATATATATATATATATATATATATATATATATTGTTAGGTTTAATTTATTTTTATTTCAGTTTAAGTTTGTTTAGTTTCAGTTTTTATTTATTTCCAGTTTCAGTTAGTCAAACTTATTTCAGTTAGTTGCCAAGGCAGCATTTCTAGTTTTTCATCTAATATAATTTTTTTTTTATTTCAGTTTTATTTTAAGTAACAAAAATGTTTTATTTTTAAAAACTTAAGTTTCAATTAATGATAATAACCCTGGTACGGAACAGTGAATAAATTCCTTATTCACTGCTACAGAGCTTGGATAAAAAAAAATTGAAAATGTTGATTTATGACTAAATCATTGTTTTGAGTCCGATCATTTCAGTGAATCGTTTAAATCAGTTCTCAGAACTGGTGTGAAATCAAACTGATTCACTTCTCAAGTTCAACTCACCGACACAAAGAAGGAAAGTCATACAGGTTTAGAATGACATGATTAAATGATGACACAATTTTCATTTTGGGGTGATCTATTGCTTTAAACTTTGTTAGTATTTTCACCTAATTCTGCTGGAACATTTCACCTGATTACAGCTGTTTCCTGCTGAATATCATGTGTCTTCCTCCTCACACTTTCTCTCTGTTCATTCATGTCTCTCCTCAGACTCGAAGCAGAACGGTGACGCAGCCAGCGCCGCTCTAGCAAACGAGGACTGTCCAACAATCGATCAGGTTCTTAGTCCAGACGAGCGCAGCCCGGTGGGCCGAACACAAGAATGCTACCAGCAGGACAGAGCCTGCTTCCTCCTCAACACGCGAGAGTTTCGACCCGCTGATGGATTTCAGTTTTATTTTAAGTAACAAAAATGTTTTATTTTTAAAAACTTAAGTTTCAATTAATGATAATAACCCTGGTACGGAACAGTGAATAAATTCCTTATTCACTGCTACAGAGCTTGGATTAAAAAAAATTGAAAATGTTGATTTATGACTAAATCATTGTTTTGAGTCCGATCATTTCAGTGAATCGTTTAAATCAGTTCTCAGAACTGGTGGGAAATCAAACTGATTCACTTCTCAAGTTCAACTCACCAACTCAAAGAAGGAAAGTCATACAGGTTTAGAATGACATGATTAAATGATGACACAATTTTCATTTTGGGGTGATCTATTGCTTTAAACTTTATGTTAGTATTTTCACCTAATTCTGCTGGAACATTTCACCTGATTACAGCGGTTCCCTGCTGAATATCATGTGTCTTCCTCCTCACACTTTCTCTCTGTTCATTCATGTCTCTCCTCAGACTCGAAGCAGAATGGTGACGCAGCCAGCGCTGCTCTAGCAAACGAGGACTGTCCAACAATCGATCAGGTTCTTAGTCCAGATGAGCGCAGCCCGGTAGGCCGAACACAAGAATGCTACCAGCAGGACAGAGCCTGCTTCCTCCTCAACACGCGAGAGTTTCGACCCGCTGATGGGAATGTGCGGAAAGGTACGTTTTAGTGCTTCTGCACACGGGTTACACACACACACACACACACGCACGCACGCACGCACGCGCGCACTGAGTTTAGGATTCAAGTGTGAAAACATCTTTAAAAACACACTGATAACTGGAAAATCGTTCTTTTAAGCCTATTGCTTTTTCCTCTTCACTTTCTCTATTTAAGTTTAATGGTTCTTTGCTGGTCAGTTTTCCTCAATTTTTCTTTCCTGACATGCACTATCCTCTTTTTACCCTCTACATCGGAGTGCCCAAACTTGGTCCTGGAGGGCCGATGTCCTGCAGAGTTTAGATCCAATCCCAATTAAACACACCTGAACCAGCTAATCAAGCTCTTATAGGCATACTAGAAACTTCCCGGCAGGTGTGTTGAGGCAAGTTGGAGCTAAACTCTGCAGGTAACCGGCCCTCCAGGACCGAGTTTGGGCACCCCTGCTCTACATTCTTCCATTCTCTCAAATTTTTTTTTTATGCATTGCATTTTCCTTGATCCTGTTCATTTTCGTTTTCAGTGACAAACCTTCTGTTACACACAACATCCCCCAAAACTTTGTGACCCTGTACTGTCACTTCCAACAGCCACACAAATCTCCTCTCCACCCATTAAAAAAATGCACAACAAATTACACAAACAATGTCCGATCCATGCACATGCAATTCTCCGAACCCAATTTATCCCCGGTTGCCCTTTCCTCAACACAACCCGACTCCATTTGGCACTGTTAGAGTCAGGAGTTCAGTCAGCGATCCACTGCTTACAGACGAATAGACTTTAATGCAAACTTCGCTTCAGCATGGATCAAACCATAATATTCAGAGGTAAAAACCAACCACAGAAATAGAAACATACTTAACATACATGCACATAAAGTCCAGGTTTTCAAGCCATTTAGCACCGAAACCAAACACAAGCACAATTACACCTGCATGGGTGTGTCGTTGTTGATGGGTGTAATTTTTCGTGTTGATGTTGTGCTGTTGTCCTAACAAACTGTAATTAGTTTCATTGGTTAAAGGAAATGAATCTAATGTTGTATAATGCTGCTGAATATGAGTTTAAGGTTGGGTTTCACATGCTCTCTGACAGATGCATTTGCTCTTGTATGTTTTTGCACCTCTTAAACTGCTGACCGTCCCGCTCTGGACAGTCACTGACAAAAATGTCTGTGCACGGGGGAGAATTTATCACTCAGTTTAACACTAGACATGTAGAAACTCAGCACAAATACAGTGAGATGGCACAAATCTCACTCTGAAAGTGCATTTGTCTGATCATGCAACTTATAATATGAAAAATAGATATTGTTTAAATTACCTAAATATTAGTTAACTGTATTATTAAATTAATAGTTACTTAAAGTTAATAAAATAGGGCAAAGGTCAATATAAAAATATTGAAAATTAGCACTGATAGCAATAAATTAATATATTTCTAATACTGGTTGATAGTTATGATAGGTTAGGTTGCTAGGTTAGGGTTACCTGCTAGGCTTCTATTGTAATTGTATGACTGTAAAAAAGGCTAAATTATTAGGTTGAAAAAAACCTGGAAAGTTTAAAGATCCTTTAATGGAAAATATACGTACCGTCTCATGAAGAGAGCAGAAACCCAATCTTTACTCAGACGTATTCAGCTCTGTTACACTAACCTCATACTCTATAATGAGAAAAACATGCATATGGGACAAAGTTGGACACTGTAGAGTTTGTGTAACATAGATTGTTTGTAATGTCATATGAGATCCGCTGCAATTACAAATGGAACTGCAGCTGCTCTGTGTGTGTGTGTGTGTGTGTGTGTGTGTGTGTGTGTGCGCGTGTTTTCAGTGGGATCTCACATGCTCTGTATTGTCTTGTCTTCAGGTTGTGTCATATCCCGCGTTTGTATGTTGGCTTCTTCATATATTCTCTCACTGTTCTACTGTCTCTCCCCCCGTCCTCCTCGCTGTGCGTGCGTGTGTTGTGTTTGTTGTGATGTGACGTCGCTTATTGTGTTTTCAATGTGTTTCCCTCACTCCACCGGTGACCTTTGACCCTGGCATGATGAGGCAACGCTTAAAACTGCACACACATAGAAAAACAGACTGGAAGGTTGTTTAGGTGTTCGCTGTGCCGAATCGAGTCTCCCCAGGGTTAAAGGTCAGGGGTCGATAGAGGTCAAGATGTATTCAAATGAGTGCAAGTTCTTGGTTCTGTGCCATGCTGCGAACACAGCATTCACTCCAAAAAAATAT